AACACAGAATAGGCTCTATATTTAATGAAGTTGATAAAATGGACAGTGTGAGAAGTTCCCAAGTGCTCATTTATCTAATGCTGGAAAATCCCCACATCTTGGCTAATGCCTATCACTAATCAATAATGGGTAGGTGATCTTGTCTAACCTCTGTGGACTCACAGTTCTTAATAGTTAGTTTATGAAACAGAGCTGAGGTGTTTATTCAGCAGCAGCCATTTCAACATTTTCCTAGTAACTATAAAGTGAAATGTATGCCCAAGGTTATTTGAGTTAAGTATTTTTTTTAAGTGCTGAGTTTCTAATGAAAAAAGATAAATCTCTGGTAGGCAAGAATTGGATTGTTACTGCCTTTTAGCTAAAATTCTGAGAGTATATCAAGCCTAGTTTGCCTATATTTATACCTTTTGAAAATATATGTGTGTGTGTGTGTGTGTGTGTGTATATGCATACACATACATACACATGTTAAAGGAGTATTTTAAAAAGTAAAATGACACTTTCCTTACCATATTTAATATACTTTTTATATTTTAGAAAAGACAATCCCTTTTTATATTAAAGTAGAATATTGGTAATGTGAATATAGCAAGTATATACTGAGAACTTGAGCACTGGTGTATGCACTATGAAAAATACAGGAGAAAAGTGAAGTATAAACCTTGCTTTATAAAACTAACAGGAAAATTGCTTTCAAGATATCTCTATAGCAGTAGAGCAGCAAAGAATAATGGGAAATATTTTATTAGCTATCGAATTATATAGTACAGATTAGAAACCGCTGTGAGCATTCAGAGAAAAAGGAAATCCATAAAAGCTTGAACATTGAAGATATTACAGCAGGGGTTGGGACTTGACTTGAGCCTTGAAGATTGCATAGGATTTAAACTAGGGAAGGGAAGCAAGAGGAACCACCTGAGCAAAGACAATAGCCAATATGACTGTTGCAGTGGAAGGGAAGGAATCATTATGAGAATGATTTCAAAGGAACAAATATCAGGATTTGGTGCCACCTCAGAGCAAGCAAGGTGCAAAAAATAAGGGAGGGAAGGTGCAAAACCAATACCAAGGTCTAGGTTAAAGAGAATTCAATGTGTCATTGATAGATATGAAAAATTTGAAAGGGGTGGGCTTGTTTCCAATAAAGAGATAACATTTAATTTTAGACATGTTTTACTTGAGATGGTATTGTTTTTGGTAAGATATTGAAATCAAAATTTTTAGTATGCAATTAAAGATCAAAGAATATTGGAAAATGCAGAACTAGAGATACAGATTTGGTGGTAATCAGCATAGAAGGGTTATCAAAGCTACTAAACATAGAGGGACTGTTAAAGTTCACTTAGAAAGACAAGCAGATGACTAAAAGCCAAATTTTTGGAAAAGGCAAGAATGTTAGAGGAGAGTAGAAGGATGGGAGAGTGTTAGGGAGTGACCAAACAGTGCGACAAAGCTGCAAAGTAAAGGGAAAATGTTCTAGGAAGAGAATATGTAATTGGCAATAAATAAGACATGATGAACTTGTCTTTCTGAATAAATTTACTCAGTGAGAGATTATTTTCAGTAAAGTGACAGCATTATAAGGGAAATTATAAACAGTTAAGAAAGGAGGGAATATTAAGGAAATGGAAACAAGAAAGTTCACTTGCTCAGTGGTAAATGCAAAGAGAATAGCAAAGCTGGGGCTACAGTTGAACTAGTATGTGGTTTATCTTCCCCTCTCCTCAGGCAGGAGTCATTTTGGAGTGGTGCTGGTCCTTGCCAGGGCTGTTTGCAGGATAAAATGTGCCAGGAGCTGCTTTGGACGGATGCGTGCCTAGTGGGGTAGGTTGGTTGGGGTAGATCCACAGGAGAACACAGAAGCAGAGTGTGTGGTGTTAGCAAGGTAGGTGGAGAGTGTTCTCCCTGGTTGCTGCAGGTGTCTTGGTATCTAGGCTGGGGATAGGATGGAGGTGGGGTTGGCACCCACCAGCTCTTTTGTTCTTGAAGAAGTCTCCTAAAGATGCCTGCCCCTCCAGCACACATTCTGAGATTAGTAAATAAATCTCCTTTCTGTATACCCAGATCCTTTTTAAATTTCTGTTTCAATGTTTTTATCTCAGCAGTGTTGTTGTTAGGCTGTCTCTTTAAGGGCTTAGTTTCCTGTTGCTCTCTCACTCTCCAAGAGCTAAGCCTGCTGATTTTTTTAAATTTATTTTTTAAGAGAGAGAGAGAGAGAGAGCACACGCATGCGCAAGGGGAGGGGCAGAGGGAGAGAAAGAATCTTAAGCAGGTTCCATGCTGAGCATGGAACCCAATGTGGGACTCAGTCTTACAACCCTGAGATCATGACCTAAGCTGAAATCAAGAGTTGGATACTGAACAGACTGAGCCACCCAGGTGCCCCATAAGCCTGCTGATTTTTAAATACCCAGAGTTAAGCCCTACTTCATTTCAAAGCCAAATATTATGGGGACTTGTCTTCCAAGTCCAGGTTCCTGGTGGGGGGTGGTTGGTGGGGGTCTGCTCCTCTCCCTTCTCAGTGCTTGTGCTGTCCCTTCCATTTGTGGTTAGTGTCACCAGGAGCTTGAGTCCTGATCATGTTTCTACACTTCCTACCCTTTGTGTGACTTATTCTCTTCAGTTAACTGGAAAGTCTGCTGTGCAGTCTTTGGGTGGTTTTCTGTGTTCATTGCACTGATATGGCTGTTATCTAGGGTGTATCTGTGGAATGAGGTGGACTTGGGAATCCTCCTACTCTGCCATCTTCCCAGACTCTAAATCAAGAACATGTTATTGACATTGCATCCAAAAGGCATTTAGACAAGATATGGAAATAGAGCTCTACTTTAAAGTGTATAATGTCTCCTTTTAAAAATGAAACCTATTATCTGTTACTGTGTTACACAATAAGAATTTACTCTTTGTGGAATAATGAATTAAATTATATCTTTTTGAGATCATCTTTTACACATCAAAAGAATCAAACGTTTGGTCAGACGTTTTTCTACCTTTTAGATAGTGATGAGGTCACTATTTAGCTACATATAACTGAAATGAAGGATGTTTCTTGCTCTCTTATATATTGGTCATGTTATTGAATGCTGAGTTAGTACATAGTTGCAAATATATATTTAATACTGGAGTGTCAGTTTCTCAAAGAGGACATGAAATTTGCCATAAAAATTCATGTACAGGGGTATACTATCTTATTTTTTTGAAGATTTTATTTATTTATTTTATAGAGATCAAAAGTAGGCAGAGAGGCAGGCAGAGAGAGGGGGGAAAGCAGGCTCCCTGCTGAGCAGAAAGCCCGATGTGGCGCTCGATCCCATCACCCTGAGATCATGACCTGAGCCGAAGACAGAGGCTTAATCCACTGAGCAACCCAGGCGCCCCTATACTATCTTATTTTCCAGTTTGGCTGTATCCTGTGTTCAGGTATAGACTTAAAGGAAACATTATATTGAGAATATTATGTTCTCATTACATATACTGATACCTAGAGAAGTAATTAAGTATTTTTAAATGAAGTTAAGATCTTTTTATGGTTGCTAATTAATTGTCCCAAATATCTTAAAACATAGAATTTGTTGTTTTAAAAATACATTTTAAATACACAAGAGTATACACACGCACACACACACACACACACACACGCACACAGATGTGTACCTTGCTACTAGCTGCTAAGTATAGAGAATTTTTGTGTTTAAGATGTGCTTGTGTTCCAGAAAAGGAGCTATTAGCATAAATGATACAAGGAGAATATGGTATTCCCACATAGTTTTAATAAGACATTTGGATTCTTACATGTCTTTAATGTGACCATAAGACTAAAGGGCCATAAATCAGTTGAATCAAACAGTATTGTAGCTTATTATTAAACAAACTTTTATTAAATACCTACTAGATTACTTTATGCTACTAAGCAAAAGATAAATAAGTCATAGTTTCTGCTTGCAAAAAGCTGAGTACAGGACAGAAAGAACTTAGAGATCAGCATTTGAATTTTGGTCCTCCCCACCTTACTAGATATATGACTTTGTGCAAGTCTTTTAGTTACTTTTTGAAAAAAAAATTTTCTGAGTGTCAGCTTCCTTGTCTTTAAGAGGACGATGACAGTACTAGTCTTTCAGGGTTGTAAACTTCAGAAGTAACATATTTATCTAGCGCAGTGTCTAACCCACGGTAAATTGTTACTGTTATTGCCTACCTCACCAAGAATTCTCAATAAATATTCCTGTTTTGTTTTGTTTTGGTTTTAATTTTTACTTACAACCCATCATCTACTATACTATACTACACTACACTATAAAATTATAGTTACTATGGTATATCATCTGAGGATGGTATACAGGATGATATGCAGCAAGTGACCTTTGTTATCCCTACTGAAACCAACAAGAAGGTGATTGAAGGCTCATAAAATTCATCTTGACTTCTGAAAAAAGATTTCAATGAGCTTTCCTGAGTCAGAGCTTTCAAGGCTGAGACCTGTTTTCTGAAAACAAGTTGAGCATATACGTGAAAGCCATTCATAAAGATCAACCTTTGAGTATCTGAATAATAACTGACCATAAGTTTTTGAGCTATAGCTCCAAAGGTTACATTAGTCTTTATTAGGAAAATTTTCATATATGCATAAAAGTAGAAAGAATAGGATTATCCACTCTTACATACTACCAATCAGCCAGTTTTAAAAGTTATCAACTAAAATGGGTTTTAACAGAAACATTTCAGTCAAAAATCTTATTTTCAGCTCTTATTTGTTATTATTTAATCCCATATGCATGGATGTAATTAGAATACTACTTTAACATTTGCACCATAAGTTTTTTTTACTATTAATTCAGATTAATAGTCAAAGATTTGTTTTCTATAAATACCATAACATTATTTTAGGACACATTTTTAAATCACAACATCAAACAAAAAATGCAAGCCTTTGTTAGTTAAAAAGGGAGGGGGTAAAGAGTTAAATATGCTGGGTAGAATATATTTTGTTCTTTGTTTTTAAGGTTTGGCTTGAGCAACAAGTTTGATACTGAATTTCCCTCAGTTCTAACAGGGAAGGTAAGTGAGAGTTTGCTTTGAACTTTTCAATTCTAAAAGCATTGTTTTATAGTTTATTCAGTATTATGACAAATACTTTGGCTCCCTGGTATTGATAATAACAAGAGGCCAGGGTATTTGGAAGCTGTGTCATTACTGACAAAGCTGTCACCATGACTACTAGCCTATGACCATTTATCTTGCTCATTGTCCATTAATGCCAGCTATTAATTGCTTATCTGTTCAGTTTTTCTGATTTTGACCTTTATTCTCAGCACTAGTAGCTGTAATTGTTTTCATTTAGGTCCGTAATCCCCTTGTTCTTTAGAGTTAACAAAGTTATCATTGTTTAACTTTGTATCACTCTATTATTTTTAAAAGTGTCCTGCAGTATGATTTGTTACACATCAAAAGAATTAAGTGTTTGGTCAGACGTTTTTCTACCTTTTAAATAGTTTGAGTTTCTAAAATTGGACTCGCTGCAATAAATTACTACTTTTCTGTTCTCTGGTTCCTCTACATTCCGCGGTATCTTCACACTTCAGGTTCAGCATTCAAAGACTTTTTAGGATTTGAGACTATGTTTAGAAAATTCTCTTACAACAGTAATGCTAACTTCTAGGCCCAAAGAAAAAGGCTTTGACTAAGGCAAAAAGTTGCTTACACATGTTTGTTACTTGAGGAAATATACAAGAAAGAGAAAAGCCATTATATTACAAAATACTCAGTAATTCCCAAATGGTTAACAGCTGAATGCTAGATAGGTGAAATGATGACTTGGGGTTAAAAGAAATTAACTTTTTGTATTTTGAAGCCTGTAATTTAATACTATTCTGTACAATTTTATTACTAGAACAATGCTACTTGTCAGTATAGATTTGGTCAGATTTTAAAATCATTCCATTCCCTAAAGGGCCTTTATGCAATTTATTGTTAAATTTTGTCATAATGTTAGTGAGAAAAGCAAGGTACAAATCCTTGTCTACAGTATGTATAATAAAGGGGAGAAATAAGCACATTATTAATTGTATAAATAAATTCTAGAAGACTGCACATGGAACTAAATAAAAGTGGTGACCTTGATGGGAGAAGGGGAATGAGATAGGTGGAGGCAAGGATAAGGATAAGACCATTTTTGGTATTTTGGTATTTAGTATTATTTTGATTTTTGAACCACGTCACTGTGTTACCTATTCAAACCTGAATTTGCTTTAATTTGTCTGCTCATTCTACACTCTCTGAGAATGGGATAAAATGCATCTAATATTGGCTCCTTTTTGTCATGATACATTTTCTAGCTGCTTGCTTTTCACTTTTGGCCTACTCTCAGAGCATTATTCATAGGTCGGTAGGGAGCAAAAGACAGCAGAGCTATTTCATTTCACAGGAGTTCTCACTAGAATTGTAAAAAATTCTATTTGATTTAACCCTGAAAGGTATTTTATACTTTATTTGCTTCCTTTACCCCCTGAAAAATGGGAGCTAGCTAGAGACAATATAGAGTAGTTAAACTTTGAAATCAGATCTGGGTTGGAATACAAGGTCTGTCACTTACTGTCTTTGTGGCCTTGAGAGAGCCACTTCTTTGAGCCTCAGTTTTTATGTGACTAGTACTTCATTTCTTATTGTAAGGATTAAATAAAAGAACATATGTAAAACTTTGAGTATATTGTCAGGTACTTACTAGCTTCCCAGTGTAAGGTTTTTTTCCCCACCAGTGTATCCCAGTTTCATCCTGATTATTTATTTCTCCAATTTTTTCTTACCAGCTTTCAATTTTTAATTGCTTTTTCTACTTTTACATTCTTTATCTGAGTAACAGTTTATTGACTGGTCCCACCAGTAATCTGTCATTTTTAAACTGTTGACCTTTTCTGTCTCTCCTTATGTATACTGTCAAATCATTCTATAAAATAAGCAGGTGGAAATAGTCCCTGGCTAAGTTAACAGAAGATATATGTCCATTTACATTTTTAGGGTACAAAGAGCCCTCTGGTTTGATGTTTTGGCCTCACTCTCTAGAATGTTCTACCTTCCTATCCTGATCATTTAGAATAATTTGCCAATTGAAGCAGCAGTTCAAACTTAGATTTGTTTTATATGAATTAATCATATATGTTTTCTCCAAAAGAAAAAAATAGCTGTGGAAAAATCCCTTGAATAATAATGTGTTTGTGGAAAGATGACAAATTCAGTATTAAAGAGAATGTGAACTAAAACATCTCCAAGGGAAAACTTGTGCTTTGTGTTTCCCTGGTGCTGCTGCATGTGTTGTCTGGGCAGTTGCATTCAGTTTTATTACTGGTTTGTTTTTTAAAAGTTTGAATTACGAGTCCAAGGATTTCTAGAAAATGAATAATCAAAAAAAAATGTCAGAGCATAGAGTTTACAGGCACAAAATGTATCCATCTTTGAAATGGGCTGGTTTTATATGCTCAATATTTCTTCATATTTCTTTCTAAGCCTTTTAAAACTAAAAACTCCATCATTGAAAAAGGTAGTACAGTCTTTTTAAACTAGAATAAGAATATTAAGCTGCAATCTGAATATGAGCTTTTTTAAAGATATCCTTTCTCTTCAGGTGACCATTTCTATAGCACATATCAATGATTGGGTATTCTAGTGTGCATTATTTTAAGTGGACAGGATTTCTCATATATTAAATGAGGCATAAATGATACCGTGATTTTTTTCTTACTTTAGTTTTTAGTGATGAAAACATCACCAACAGGAATTCTGAAAGTCTGATTTTTAAAAGCTACATGGTGGTAACATTAATTTTATTCACTTTTCTCTTTAATGAGACAATTTTTGTCCAGTAGGCACTGTTGTAATTGTATAGGTTATTATGAATTATCCAAATGCTTCTCTAATAACTGGGGGAAGAGGCAAGAAGAATTACATTAACCAGAAAAAAAAGGAAAAAGGAAGTTCTGAATACCAAACTTAACAGCCTTTGTGTAAAATATTTTAAAATGAATAAAGGCAGTCTTTAAAATAGAAAAATAAATCTACCTTTTAAAAAATCAGTCTTCTGGCATGAATGGGATTCTAAATAGCTTTTATGCCTAAACTAAGCAAAACTGCACAGAATTAATTCTGAAAACGTAAAAAGCTATTTTGACAAGCTTCGTGGCTCAGTACTAATTTTGTGTTTATGTGTTAATGCTTCTAATACAAATAAAAAGATAACCTTCTACATTAAGTGCAGAAAAGATTGTTTTGCCCATTTTACTAATGATAAGTCTTCCTGTCATGATAAGATATATCAAGCAGGTGCGTACCGCAGATTCTGGTGACCAGAAAATGAAAGAACTACAGTACTTTGGAAAAGAAATGAAAGCTTCTGGCCCTCAGCTTAGAACAATTCAATGGTATTATGGGGAGATTAGTATGTGATATTGGGGGAAATCTAAGCCATAAAATCGAGCACTGCTATTGTGATCCAATATGACAAGTGATTGATAGGGTTGTGTTCCCCATGATTTAAGGAGGCAAAACAGTCTTGCTGGGTTTTGCTTATATTTTCTTCTGTTTGCAGTCTCTTGCATCCTGTTATAAAATATTATGACTCTTTCCCCACCTTTATGATGTGGCTTTCTCTTTTCTTTCCAAGAAAGTCAGAAGGAATTCAGTTTCTTTATGACCTGCCATTTAGCTAGAAAGTAAAAGGCTTCCATGTAACTTTCATTACTAAAGATACTCGATTATATGGAAGTAAATGAGTAACACTCTAATTCCACACAGTTAACTAAACATTTTTTTCACAATGTTTAAATCAGGAGTTAACCAATTCTCATTTACTATGTCCTTATCATCTGTTTTATGACTTTACTGTTATTCAATCACAAATTTTCTTTCTAAAGACAATCCTGGCCTCCTTTTAAAGGCAAAACGAAGGTTTTATTTTGTTTTTTGAAATTCTATTAGTTTTCCTTTCAATGTATTTATCTTATGACTTCAAAAAATTTGAATTCTCATTTTTAGTAACTTCAGTATAGTAGTTTATAGTTTAATCATGGTGACAAAGTAATAATTGACACGATTATGTGTTAAAGGTGGAAAGTATTGGCAAGAAAGAAGGAAAATTGCTACATTCTTTTAAAAGTTTTATTTATTTCCAGAAGCATGTAATAAAAGATTTTATAACAAATTTTATATATCTTGGCATATATTTTATTCGCAATATTTTAAAACAAAAAGCACGTTTTACCTTTTCAACTGGTTGGTTTCTGGCTTTAGCCTCACTCTTTATTTTTATTTTTTTGTCTGTGCTTATACACTTCCAAATAAATACTCTAAGTAAAAATTTTACTTTTTAAATAAAAATTTAACTTTTTAAATAAAAATTTAGGGGTGCCTGGGTGGCTCAGTGGGTTAATCCTCTGCCTTCAGCTCAGGTCATGATCCCAGGGTCCTGGGATCGAGCCCCGCATCAGGCTCTCTGCTCAGCGGGAAGCCTGCTTCCTCCTCTCTCTCTGCCTGCCTACTTGTGATCTCTCTGTCAAATAAATAAATAAAATCTTTAATAAATAAATAAATAAATAAATAAAAATTTAAATTCTAGTTATAAGCACTTAAATTTGTAAATGCACAGATTTAATAATTTTATGATTTACATTAGTTTATATAAAATTTACCATATTTTAAAAATGTATTAGTGTTTCTAGATACACAATTTAAAGAGAATTTATAGTAATGTTATATTACAGATTAGAGCTAAATATATTAATATATTTTCCTTATTTTAATTTCTATTTCATTGCTCAGTGATTGACTAGGAAAAAGAAGTTGAGTATCACTGAGAGGTAAATCTTAAGATAGCAACTTGGCATTGTTTTTTTTTCTGATGTAAAATGCTCTTTCTTTTTTTATTAATTATTTTTATTAACATATAATGTATTATTTTCCTCAGAGTTACTGGTCTGTGAAACATCAGGTTTACACACTTCACAGTACTCACTATATCACATACCCTCCCCAATGTACATAACCCAACCACCCTCTCCACCACCACCTCC